GATCTCATTTCTCCTGGGCAGGCTCCACACAGAGGAAACGGCCGCTTTCAGCTCCTGGTTTCCAGCTTCTGCAACCAACACCGTGGTGTTCCGCTGTCCCAGGAGACAAACCCTTCACCAGTTTCCCCTGTGGCACCCAGCTCTGCCTCCCTGTCTGGCTGCACCTCCAGTCCTTGGGCACAGGCACCAACAGCGCCCACGCGGTCACTCCACTCCACCAGTTCTCTCCCTTTCCCCCTCCCACCAGGAAACCCCCTCGTGGAGGTTTTGGATCGCTCAGGAGCGAACACACACACACACGGAGCATCGGCTGCACAGAGCTCGCGCTCCAACTGTCCTGAATTGTGGGACTCCAGCGATCCTCACCCAGCTCAGAACGACTGTTGTCACCTGAAGCGAGGTCACAGCAGCTACAAGTTGTCCCGAGCCTCAGTGAAATCCAGTTTTGTGCAAAAACCTGTTCCTGTGTAGCAGCACATGCAGGGGATCACCTGAGGCGTTGTGTGTCCTGCCTGGGCCAAGCAGGGAGCCAAGGATGAGCTTCCCACTGGAACATACGCTGGGCCGTGCACGGCAGCTGGTGGTCTCAAAGTGTGACTTAACAACAGCAGATGTCACAAAATGGAAATCTCCCAGGAAAGGCCTGATGCTGACTGAGCAAGGAGCCTTGGGTCCTCATAGGGTGAAGGGTCAGCTGGATTTGTCAGAGCTGCGCGAGGGAAGCTTGTGTAGCCCGATCAATGGGGCTTCACACCCCAAACTTTATGTTCCTCCACATCTGCCAGGACAATACTTACGAGAGGAGAGGCTCTCAGCCTATTGCACGGAACTGAGTACAAGAAGCCAAAGCTGCAGAGTACAGAGGAAACGTACCTGGGATCTGTTCCGGCAGCGGCTCAGAAGGAACCTCTGGAAGCTCCATCTGTTCCTGCAAGAACATTAAAGACAACCCGTGACACAGGCCCCACGTACCGGGCGGCGGTTGCACCCCCTTGCACCAGCCTCTGGGCAGAGAATGTCTGGGAACAGGGTAAATCACAGAGATTCCACACGCAAACTGGGATCTGCCTCCAGAATGGCAGGAAGGGTTACGGGCGCCAGTACTGCCCAGTAACGAGTACAAGGTGCTTGTTTGTTATTAAATGGGACTTAAAGGCTCCTGAACTGGCTACGAGTCTCCTCACAGCAACGCAGGAGCAGCCTCTCCACTGGCCGCACGTTCCCTGCGGGGTTGGGAAGAGCCACCAGGAGGAGGGTGGGGATGGGGAGGGACGCGAATTCCTGCTGTCTGAGCACGGCCCGGACTTCCGAGATCGTCATCTGGCGAAGTGAATGGCTATCCAGGAGGAGCAGAGATCAACTTGCTGTAACAGACAGCAAATAAGGTACAGCCCTTAAAAGCATCCCAGTTTTAGATGATTTCTGTGTGTGGAGCAATTAGCTTGATCTCTGACGACACAATAACGGGGCATAAACAGGTATAACTGAGAAAATAAGATAAACTCCATCGGGAGCTGGGGATTCCTCCCCTACTACAAACAGCATCCTGAAAATACAACTTAAAGTAATTTCATCAGTCCTACCTGAGTAATAGTGTTTAATTCTTCTAGAATGGCATCTTCATCTTCCTCAGTCAGGCCACCAGCCAGTATCTCATCTATTTGCTACGAAAGAGAGGAAAAGACACATTCCAGTCGGCCGGAGCGCAGCAGCAGCAGCTCACGGCTCGCAGCACGTGGGAGAGCAGCGTAACGCAGGGGGAAGGGGCACAACTGGGCGTAATTCCCAATCTGGGAATAAGGCTGGGAAGTGCCCATCAGGCAGTCTCTGCTCACACACGCAGCACATACCCTCTGGTACTCCACAGCATCTTGGGTTTCACCGATTATTCGTTCTACTTCTTCTATTGACATAACCTGAAGGAAAGAGCAAAACCCACAGAGTGAGGTCTGCAGGGAGACAGCTACAACAGCCCAGACTCTGCCTAGCCCAAGGCAAGAGCGTGGTCACACATACCTGGTGCATTTTGTTCAGACACTCGTTGCCTATCTTCAGGCCCTCAATGACCTTCATTTCGATCTGGGTGAACTCAATATCCTGGACCTGAAACAGAAAGGAGAAAGGGGAAACATCACAGGCTGCCACATTCCCATCGCCAGCCAGATACAGACTGCCAAGGGAAACTGCAAGGAGAAATCAGCCCCGAGCCCCTTCTCCAGTGAACAGCAGATTAAATGATACCAATGGTGAGAAACATGCACACAAAAAGCCTCCCCACAGGCAGCGGCAAAAGCATTCCCAACAGCTCTTTAACCCATTTTCTAGCTGACAGTCTAAGCTGAGGACAATTTCCATGGCTACCCCAGAACACACACATCCACTTCCGAAACGGAGGTACCAAAGCAACCCCGAGGAAGTTTCTACAGCAGCTGTCCGCATCGTGCCCGAAGTTTCACTGACGTACAGAACACGGGTAACCTGCGCCGCAGACTCCAAACACCCCCCCCGGTTCCTCAGGGGAGGGTCAGGCACACGTACGATGTCAGAGACATCAGCTCTCCGGACAGAGGACTAAACCCCCGTTAGGGCTTGACAGTTAAAACGCAATTCCACACAATCAAAGCGAACCCCAGACCAGAAAAAAAAAAGACTTGTACCGAGCAGAGACAGCGGGCGCTCGCAGCCTACAGCGACCGATTCTCGCTTACCATCCGCTCCAAGTTGCTGATCTGGTTGTCCGTTTTATCTAGAAGTTGCTCTTGGTAACGCTTCTTCTTTAGCAGGAGCATGGCTTTTCTGAGGGAAAACAGGAGGAGGAAAACTCAGCGCAGAAGAAAGCAAACAAGCCTAAAAGAATCACGTCGAAGTCGCGTTTGTTTTGTGCTTCTTCCAAAAGAGGACCAAAAAAAAAAAAAAAAAAAAAAAAAAAAAAAA